TTTATTGAATCTATTATGCCGAAATAATAAATTAACCGGATCGGTCGAAAATCATTCGGCTAATTTTTTACAGGTGTGGCGAATTTTTTTGATTTGGTGATTATTAAAGATTATATGACGATATTTCATAAATTTTAAGCTTTTCTTGAATGTGTGCCAGGTTTGTGACGCAGCAAAAAATTCTTCGAAGTTCGTTTATGTTAGGGTTAGGGTTCGGGTTAGGGTTAGGAAGGGGTATTTATACAGTAAAATTGTCTAACAAAAACTTTTTGTTAAAGCATTAAAGGTGATTTCCTATGCAGATTTTCAGGAAATAGGCGATTTCTGACGAAACGAACGTTTGTTTTGAATCTTCTTGATCGTGTTACGTTGCACCTGATCTTGAAATCTGATTCGTAGTTCAGGACATCTGCGCCACACATTCAAGGTGTGCAAATTTTAATCCAATCATTACCAATCATTTATGTGATATTGCGTAATTACCGGAATTAAATCAGAAAAATATAATAAAACTGAATATTTGATTGGTATATCATCTTTTTAATCATGAATTGCTTATGAAACCCTTATGAAACCGTTTATAAGTTATTTTACGAATCGTATGAGCTTTTAGCAGTTTTAATTAAATGTAGCCAATCATAAATATTATTTTATTACTATGTCACTTAATTTTACTAGTCACAAAATTCCCATCAAAAATTTTGGCCCATATGAATACGCACTAATTTTTAAATTTTAAATGGATAACGGATTAGTACATGGCCATTACATTTACAAGTCATTCTTATATTTTATAAGTTACCGACAGGTTTAAATTCAATATAGTTTTATAATGCCTTATGATTTAACTGATTTAAAAGTTAATGAACTTGAAATCATCTGAACAAGTAAAATGCTTTTTCAAGAAAGCCTTAGAAATTAAAGACTTTGCAACATAGATTAACAAAAAAAATCCGACCCCCGAACGAAATTTCGAATGCCATTTAATGCAAAACGAAAAATCATCTTTGTGTAGTCTTAGTAATTTAAGTACTGTAATAAAACTTTGAAGTTTTCCGTTCGAATTCGATAAAAACTTTTATTTTAATCATAAGAATGTGGAGAAATAAAATAAAAAAAATTTCATTCAATTTGGTTAGGAAGTTATCGAGAAAACTTCTCTCAAAGTTTTAAAAAATTTAATTTACTAATAGACGAATCAGTTCTTTCTAAAATTAAGCAAAGTTTCTCGATAGTTACCTGACAAAATTCGATGAATTTTTTTTTTTATTTTAATCCTACATATTCATAAAATTAAAATTAAAAAAACTTCATTGAATTTGGTCCGAGAAAACTTGTTTACATGTATGCTAATTTTGATTGGTTAAGCATGTTTCAATCCTGGGTTATATCCCTCCTTTTTTCAGAGCATTTTTGGAGATATAACTAAGTTAAGGTATATGTGGCGCAGATTTCCCAAGCTACAAATCAGATTTCAGTACGTTTGGTCACAAATCGCTTATTTTTCAAAACCTGAATAAAAACCTTCTTTAATACTCTAACGAAAAGTTTTCCTTAAGCAAATTTGCTGGATAATCTGCTATCACCTAACTCTAATATAAACGCTAACCCTAACATCAATGAACTTTTTGTTATTGCTATCTGCGACACAAACCTAGCGCACACCAATTCTGCAATTTGATTGGCTGTTTTCGCCCATTAATCATTTGATTTTTTCAAATCCGATAACCTTCCAAAAGTGATACAAAACTCATCCACCATGCATACCGGTTTTGAGAGGGCCAACAGTATATGTAAGTTTAGACTGCCGCTTTTTGTATTTTTCAGGTTTTTTGTTTTTATTTCTTCGTCGGCGATGACTCGACCTCACTAACTGCATATACCTTCAACTTTCTAAAGGATTTCTAAAAAAATGCAATAAAAAATTGGGAAATTCTATTTTCACCCCACCCGAAATATTGCTAATACTAATGATTTTCGTTACACAAATATGATATTATTATTATAGTTTATCGGGTGATTTTAACTCGGGTAAAAATAGAATTTCCCTAAAAATTATGCAACCAATTCTTTCTTCTACATTATCGTTATTTAATTTTACTGATATTATATTATAGTACGTACGAAAACTTCAAGTTACTTAGTGAAATCGTTTTACAAAAAAGATTAACCGAGCTTCCTAAAAAAGTATTGTATAAAAATTTTCTTTATTAACAATTATGTAACAATCGGATCGTCATGTCCATCACAAGCAGTTATCGTTATAGAAAAATTATGTATTCCTTTATTCGTTAATTGATTGATTGATCTACAAGTCCTGTCAAGCCCTACTCGTCGAGAAGTTGCGTCATCTGCAAAAGGCAAAAATATTAACCACACTTTCGGCGATTTTCATTTGAAGCTATCAAAAACGTTTCTTTCGATGACATCACGTTGTGACGTCTGTATATATTGTTGCATTTAACATAACGATTTATCTAAAGTAGCAATTTTATATATCTAAAGTAGCGTCAAACCAATTAAAACACAGACTTCGGGTGTACTTTATCCCATCTGTAGCGTCCTCCGCGGACAGTAACCAAAAGTAAATTAATTTTGCCGTTGATAAAATGTTATAAATTACCATACTTCATGAATGTAAATACGAGTAAAAAATCTTAACATTATTAAAATTTTGTAAATAAGTTTCTTACAACTTGCAAAAATGTCACTCAAATACCAAAGTTTATCGGAAGCTTTTCAACATCAAGTATCAACTAGGCCAAAAGGCAATGCTCTTCTGATCCCCAACGGTACAAAATATGATGAAATTAATTTTCAAGACTTCGATATTATTATCAATAAATACGCTAATTATTGGAATAAACTATTGGTGAATGAAAATTTGAATAAAAATAGCGTGATTGGCTATTTGGCACATAGTGGTTCAGAATATTTGTTTAACACTATGGCCTTATGGAAACTAGGTTTTCAAATCTTATTCCTTAGTCCTCGAAATTCTGGGCCTGCTTTGATTCATTTACTTCAAGAAACTAAATCGCGTATTCTTATTTACGATCCTCAACTTTCAAAAATTTCGGAGGATGTGCAAAATGAAATCAATTCTCAACGTCCACAATCATTTAACATTTTTCAACTTCCTAATAATTTAAAAGATGAAAAAATTGATCATTTTTCCCCTGTCCTGAAATTAGATGAAAATCCTTATGAACAAGTAATTGCTATTTTTCATAGTTCCGGTTCAACCTCATTTCCTAAATTAGTTCCTCTCTCCAATCGTTATTTATTAAATGCAGTCGGATCAAATGATACTCATGAGATTATTTTATCAACCGCTCCATTATTTCATATTTATGGATTCGCTCTTGTATTAAAATATATTTTAAGTCCTGGTTCGATATACGCATTTCCAATTGTTGCAGGTTCAATCCCTTTAGCTAATGAAGTTTTATATAGTTTAAAACAATCTAAAGCTAAAATTCTTTACACTTTACCTGCTACCATTGAACAAATTTATAAAAATTATCCGGATGAAATTAAAACATTATTAAATTTAAAAGCCATAAATTATGGTGGTGCTGCATTGTTACCTCAAGTAGGCGAACAACTTGTTCAGTCTGGCGTCAAAATTCGAAATTCTTATGGTGCGACAGAAATAGGTCATTTTATGGCGACTCCTGAAAATTTATCACCTGATATTCCATGGAATGCAATGAAATTAATGGTTCCTGAAAGTGATATAAAATGGATAGAAAGAAATGATATAATTGATGGTGCAAAAGAATTAGTTTTAAAAAAAAGTTCTTCAATTCTCGCAAATATTGAAGGAAATACTGATAATGGTGATTATAGATTAGGTGACCTTTTTATTGAAGCTAAAAAAGGTTCCGGTTTATATCTTTTACTTGGTCGAGTTGATGATACACTTATT